TGAATCTCAAGTATCGTGATGTTCAGTTTAGGGAGGTGTTCAGGTACCGTGATGTCTATGCGCACTATGTCAACCGTCTAGCATTTTTTGTCTTTTCTTTTCCAGATTCCGATAAATTAGTGTTCAGGGTAGGTGTTGATGATCTGAGGATACTGGTTTTACATCTTTTAATTCCCTCACAGAAGCTCATTTCTTGCCAATTATTCTTTTCTGCAGTGTCGTGAAAGTGTTTATGATATATGTATTCCTGGTAGCTGAAAGAAGATTCCCATTAAATAGACACTTTAATGGAAATCTAGACATTTTTTATCTCTCGTCTTAAGTGAGTTGTAGAAATCCGGATAGCTTTGTAGTTGATTTGAGGGCTTTAGCTTTTCAACTGACCAATGTTCCTCATAAGTGTTGCTCACATCCTTTGAGATCTGATTCTCATATGTTTTGGAGGAACTTTGGAGATTCTGATGATTTTTTGCTCCAAGTTTAGGAGCCTAGAATATTCTGGAAAAATTATCCTGTCCCTTTGACTTTATTTAATGCTAGTACTTTATCTCGTTGACATTTCCTCTTTAAATGGGAAGAAATCTGACGAGTCTGAGAATTATTCTGACGAGCATAAAAATGATGTTGTGCAGTTCTAAACTAGCACCAGGTTTTAAAAAATTAGTTCTTTGTGGATGGAATGAAGAGAACAACAACTATTTAGCAAACTGGCTTTCAAACACTTGCACCTTGTTGTTCTTATTGCAACGAAACCTTAAAGCCACTGGTACTGGCGGTGTTGTTCCACGCAAGAAGCCAGGTAAGGGCCTCTCTTCATCTTCATTGATTTTTCAGGAGAAACCAACATTCAGCATTGTCACGAGAAACGCCTTCTGCTTTTTCTGGAAAGTATTATACTCTCACGACTTCCCATAGAATCAAAGTAACTTTGCATCTGAAAGTTGTAATTTGTTGCAGCTGATTATTGTCAGTAATTATTTAAGTTACTCCTGGAAGTTCCAGTTTAATTATTTTCTCTTATTTTCATAATCTTTTCATAAGTTAAACCCTCCAATGTACATCATATGGATAAATGAGATCATTTAGTATTAAGCATCTAACATGATAACTAAAGTTGGTTGCATTTTATTCTTCTACATACTAATATCTTTCACCCACATATTTTTTTCACATGAGCAAATCAAAGCATATGTCGGGTCCGGTTACAGGTTCAAAGCCTTCCCACGGAAGTAGTTGATTACTTGGCCGTCAATATCATCATGTCAATGGCTTTTTGACTTAGTGAAGAAAATGGAATCATCAAGTAAATGGTGTAATGAAGGCATTTCTCCTGTTTGTATGTTGAAACGTGCACGGAATGAGAATGTATTGATCGTTTCCTATATATGATATTTCAATGATGTTCAGGTCTATTGTCATTTGATTTCTTCTGATACATATTCTGAAAGTTCCCTCAGCTTGTGTAAGTAGAAAATTATGTTACTTGAATGTCAAAAATTATCATTTTGTCTGCTAATTTTAGTATCTCAGTTTTTTTTTCCAGACTTATCTTCTTGATTGTTGGTTGTGATTTTGTTCAGTGAAAATGTCATTTAAATTCTTACAAGAGCTCTTCATGCGAGATTTTTTTCTTTCCTTTTTTTCTTGCGTGCTTCAAAGCTAGCGTTTTTTTTTTTAATGCACATGTAATCTTCCAGAAGTATCGTATTCCTTCGATGAAATTGTGGATGATCTTTTCCCAGTAATTGGAAAATCTATTCTTTTATGACCATTATTATCATTCTCTCTCTCTCTCTATCTCTCTCTCTCTCTCTCTTTATCTCTCTAGCTCTATCAATCCCTCCTCGTCTTGTGATGTGCTCACTAATTGTTGGCACCTGCAGGTTCTAAGCGTCGCGCAACTTCATAGAATTTGGATTCAACTTTATAACACCCAAAGTTTATCTTCAAATGTAAGTGAAGATTACCAGTAGGATCCTCTTCTGAAAATAGTTGCCCCCCCAGACGTGTTGTCTTTGGTTAGGAATGATTTATTTCTTCAGCATGCAAACTCATTCCAAGTTTGCTTCCTTTCTTCAGCAGTAGCTCTTTCTATAAAGAGAAGAGCCTCACCAGTCCCTTTTCATTCTGCTTTCTCTCCCTTACTGAGCAGGTTCTTTCCAGCATAAGGATACTAATGACAGAGGACTCCAGTGATCTTGTGAGTAATGCTTTCATATTAGACGATAATTCCTGGTAAAAAAATAAAAATAAAAAACTAAATGAGTAATATATTTTTTTTAATGCAGCATTCCATTTTTGGTGGATGATATATCCGAGTCAATACAAGATGAGGAGTTTGTAGAGGTTAAACCAGTAGAGGAGCTTCTCAGGAACCCCAGACTTCCATTTTTTTACAAGAGTGAGGAGCTCTGAACCTCAAGGGTACGGTTCTTGTCTTCCACCCAATTCTCATTTATCCACCTCAAGAGCTGTAAATGCACCCAATTCTTCCTCTGTGTAAAATTTTACAGTTTCTTCTTTGTTTGAAGACATTGAAATTATTTCAGGCACATCAATTATAAGAACACAATCAATACATAATTCCTTGGGCATGTCTTGTTATTATTATTATTTTATTCATATGATTATTAGTTTACATGCCCAGCTCTTCTCCTGCCCTGATGCCCTCAGAGAACCAACCAACCGGTCATTAAAGTCACTGTTTTCTACATGAATCTCTCCTCCACCCGCCCCCCCATCCCCTTCTTCCCTTCTTTTAGATGGAGAAAGGAGAATTACTCTCCATGTAGCGTGTGTAGGATTACAGATGAGCACAAAAATGGGAGCACTGGGGTCCCCAAACTTACCTAAATTAAACCAAATAGGGGAAAATGTGCACTTTAAGTGAAGGCTGCTCCCCAATTCATATTCTTTAAGTGGGCCGTCTTCCAAGACTGCCCACCATTTTCATCACCCGAAATAATTTTACATGGGGGAAAATAAAAATTAAAAAGAACTGAGAAAATTGTAAGAGTGCAGTATTTGCTGATTGAACAAGTTGATCATTCAGATCTTAACTCATACAGATATAGAAAAAGCATCTGTAGCAGCTTTCCAGTTTCCTACTATTTAACGCAGAGGAATCTCTCTCTCTCTCTCTCTCTCTCTCTATCTCCCTCTCTCTCCCTTAGATCACATGTGATATAAGAAATATATATATTTTTTTGGGTCATCTGTTATCTTACTAAAAGATGATAAACCACATCATGTGGTGCTCATGGGGCAGCCCAAGTCTCGCCAGGAATGATTGATGAAAAAATATGCACTTGATGCAGCTTGAGTTGTAAAAAGGATAGATTTATCCCTTGAATCCACAAGGCCCAAAATCTAGAGCTTGAGAACTTGAATATCATGCTCTGATTCCACAATATCTGAAATCTGTAATCGTTGACTCCACAAAATTAAAATATAATTTCTTTAATCCACAAGTAGAGAGACTTCAAGATAGAAAATTCATATTATTCAAAATGCTTCTCGGGGTTACTAAAAATAAATAAATAAATAAATAAATATATGAAACAAACTCATAATAGCCTAATAAGCATGTCAATTACTAAAATTAACCTTTTGACTGACACTTTACTAGGATCTAATAAATTCAGATTGCCTAACAAACGTGTTAGTTACTAAAACTAAAATTGACTATGCCGTGCACTTTATCCATGCCTACAAAATTCAAGAAACATAACAAACATGCCAGCTACTAAAGATGGACTATGATTCATTATTTTCGCATTTTATTTTGGCCTAATCTTCTCATCTTCATAATCTATTTTCAAAGTGGCTGGCTGTCCCTCTACCTTTTAAACTTTTCTATTGTTGTGTATGTTCTTCTAGAAAAATATTCATATCATTGAATCTATTGTTGTGTTTCTGCATGAAAAAATAGTCATATAAATATCCATCACACTAAAAGTAAGAGATATATCTTTCAATAGCCTCCTCATAATTGTTGTAATTACTTGAAATATATTTCTTAATACTTATGATTGCTTTGATATGATCAGTCATACTATCAGCTCTTGTAAATTTTCCTCTATGATTGGGTAAATACACAAGATTTTAAGAGAGTTTTAGAGGAAAATATTAAATTTCACTAGTTATAGAGAAACTCTAGTTAGTGTAGAGATTAATGATTTAATTATAGAGAAACTCTACTTGAACAAGAGTATAATTTCATGGCCTCAATTTATCACTTTACTTATAGTAAATTAAACTACCTAATTTCTTATTTGTTATGTGAATTTGACCATCTTCTAGTAGATGAGAGTGGTTCTACGGAAATTTTAAAATAAAACCACACTTCATCTAAACAATAAATTAAAAGTATTATTGAAACTTTGATCAAGAAAATGAATTACCCTCGTAAATAATAAGTTTGCTGCCTATAATACATCATTTTTCTTGTCATAATAATAAATTGTGCTATTTTTAGAGAAATAATCAACAACTAGAAAGGCACAATCTATCCATTGTTGTGTTACCAGTGTCCTAAAATGAAATTCATTAGCAAACTAGGGTTTGAACCTATATGAGGCATATGCTACCTTCTTTCTATCTCTCAAAGTCAACTAGATTATTCATTGTTGTCCTTTATTTATTTCTCTTTGAATTCCTCAAGAGTCTTCCCTTGAGACCTCCTCAACCAGTCAACTCATCTCGATGCAGGCAAGAACCATGGGAAAAAAGCTAATATAATGGGCCAGAGAGCCCTAATTTAAATGGAAAATGACCCTTTTCACATCGGGTCTGCCCTAGTTGGGCCTGACCCTGAGTATGGTTAGCAATAAAAATAAACGGGCCAAGACCAGATTTTGCAAAGCCCAATATGGGCCCCGTAATAAATAATAAATATTTAAAAAAATCGGGAAAATGGTCTCTCCACGAGGGTATGAACGAATACATCTATTTTAATGGGCCGGCCCAATAACCGAGGCTACTGTGAACGTCCTCTTGAATCATGAAGAGAGCTCGAACCGCTTCGCGACTGCTACTCCCCGTCGGAGCCCAGCGTCCTCTCCGGCGTGGTGGAAGACGAAAATCCCTCCAGCAAACCGAGCATACGCCATCACAAATTTCACAGTCCGACCGCCGAGGTAGTTAGTCAGTTTCGTTGTCTGACGTGTCCCAGTCGCCTCGACTGGGGCGATGGAGGCGGCGCAGGCGGGATCGGAGATGGAGAAGGGGAGCTCGCGTTCCTCGATCGCCGCCGTCTGCAGCTTCTGGAAAGGCAAGCGTATAATGGAAAATCTAGCTCTGGGATCTTCGTTGCTTCCTTGGCTCGAATTGGTATTTTTGCGGTTTTCTTCTGAAGCGGATCTGGGGGAGAATTTTTTTATTTTTTTGTGTGACTGGGGACGAACATTTGGAACTGATGAAGATATTCATTGAACCAGATGAGCGTTTTAAAGACGGAAGTTCTGTTAGGGAGTGTACCATTTAACTCTCAGAAAATTGCAACTACTCTAGATTGTGACTTGTGGAATTAGTTTTTTTGAGAATCTAATTCAAATTTTGTCAAATTTTCCTAAGTACTATGCCTCGTATCAGTGGATCGATACTTGCACGCACGTGGTAGCTGGGTTAGTAGTCATATGGGCTTCCCCTTTGAGTGAGTGGGATTTGATGATCATATAAGAGTTTCTTCAGTCGTTGACAATAACTACTCTAATATTTGATTTTCATGTAATTATTTTTATTTTTATTTTTTAAATTGATACAATCATCGTTTAGATATGAGAGGATCTCAAGGATCACATGATTGGCTAAATAAATTAAAATAAATTAAATGAAAGACGTTGGAAGTGCTAGTGTGTCATTTCCATAAAGAGACAATTCTTTGGGTTTTTTTAAGCCAATTATTGAATGTCCAAAAGCATTAATCTTCTCTTAAAAACTTATATATCAAGAGAAATTTCGTCATTGACCACGAGGTATCAGATCTGAAGGGTGCTTTTGAGGAATTTTCAATATAGGCGGATGCATGATAGCGGGGATAAAAAGAAAGGGATTGAAAGTAGTAAATTGGCTAATCAATCTTCAATCTTCTTGTATCGTACTGGAGTCTGAGAAACATTTATCACATCTCAGTGTTTATTTTTCTCGTTTTTTTCTTTTTTTTGGGTAAAACCAAGATGCAGAATCGCTTTTCTACTCGTCATTCTCATTTTTTGCATATTGAATACCTGAATGTTGATTTTTGCTTGGTATCTTTTGTCAAAAAAAAATCATTTTCCACCAGGTGGACAGTGCAAGATAAACATGGATGTGTTGCTTAAACATCTTTCTGGAACTGCGTAGAGTGATCAAATTTTATAAGTAGGATTGTCGAGAATGTTTTTTCGTGTGGAAGATGTTCTCAAGTTCTATTCTCAGTTAGGATACAAATAATGGTTTCCTTTCCATAGCCAGTGATCCTCTGATTTCAAAGACTTATGGAATTTTGGCTGAAGAGTTTCTTGCGATGTAATTATTATCTCTGGGCCTATTTTTGTTCAAGATCTGTTCCGCAGAAACAATAGTTAAAATTATCCTCGAAACACTCCGATTATTTTGCTTCTTTGTGGTTCAGGTTCAATCCTTATCAATAAAATATGATGTCTGCTGTAATCTATTAGAGCATGAAAGAGAATTAGAAACAATGTCTTCTATCAACTGAGCTCAATTCTTGAGTTGACTAACCCGGCAGTCTACTTGATTGCAATTGAGTATTGGCTGATTGTGTATTTGAGACATTCTTAGCAAGTAAGAATAATTTATTGCAATGCTGCCTGGGGAAGTATCATCTAAAAGTCCTAGATTGAAATAAAGATAATAGCTTAACCATGGACCTTCTTTGTAGAGGCATGACCCAAAAAGCATCAATATTCTCATAAAAAAAGGGTTCAGGAAAAACAGTAAACTGTGAATAGGATCTTTGACGCTATGAAGTAATTTTTTATATGTTGAATGTAACACATCACGTTGTTATTTTTTTAACCAGAGGGAGATATTAAATCAAGAAGTGTTGTATTGTGTTTGATTAACCGATTAGAAAAGGGAGTTATCCATCTAATAGTTTCAGCGTTTGGGTGTTAGGGAAGATAAGCCTTTCTTTTAATTATTCAATGCCTTTAAAATTAACAATATAACCAAAAAGTTACCATGGTCGAAAAACAACTAATAGTGGTAAAATAGTTCTATGGTAACTTGAAAAACTGCACCTAAGGGTCATTTTCTGGTAGAGGAACAGTTTAAAGTTTCCTAGTGTCTGGTTCAGGGTGTTTTCTGAAGAATACATGAAATGTAGGTTACATCTCTAGAAGATGACGATGGGTAAACCTGACAATCTCTGTTGGTTACTGATGGTTTTGAGAGCAGCAGCTCGGCCCTTATTCCTGCAAGAAAAACTTCAGGCATTGTGATAATGTTTTATCCTTTGTCCGCTCAATTTATCCTATACTTTTCATGGTTCATTGGTCCTTTGGATCATTTGTGTACACCAAAATTGTGGAGGTTTTCTTGATGACTCAGGAACTATAGTATGATAATATAGAACTTTTGGCGAGTTTCTGGAGCTGCTTATTTTCTGGGCATGAAAAAAATGCATTTTGAAATGATTAGATTGGAAATTTCCTATTCATTTGTTTTGCTTATCTGCTTACGATGTTCATGAGAGGGAGATGCTGGTGGTACTTTCTTGATTGTATTTTTATCTTGTAGGACCAGGGCCTTAATCTATGTTGGACTTTTTAGAGGGTTTTGACCTTGATCGACTCTTGATAAGGAAACATAGTATATATAATAGAAACAGTCCTCTGTAAAAAAAGTGATCAGAGAACCAAAGGTTATGATTCTTTGCAAAATTAGAGGAAATTGTTTTTTGAAAGTGACTTGTGGCGTTCATTTTGAAATTGCTTTTCCACTTGTGAACAAAATTTGACACCATGCCTGGTGCTGTGGGAAAATGATCTGCGCACCCATTAGACATTACAGCAGGTTACTTTTTTCTTACCTGACGCTATATAACGGTTTACTAGTGAAGGTTCGGACATTCAGCGGCTGTTCTTGCTCTAGTATTCGTGAATTCTTAATGTTGAGCTGAAAGCTTCGTATTTGATGTGTTCTATTCGTACATCTCAATATTTAGAAAATAAGAAGTATCATTAGTCATAAATGCCATTCCAGTAAACTCACCTTAACATTTTTTCATGATGCGTACAGATTTTGATTTGGAAAGGGAAAGGAGCGGTTTGGATGAACATGGGCTTAAAATAGCTGAAAATCAGGAGAATAGTCAGAAAAACAGACGGAAGCTGGCAGAAACCACTCGGGGTATATTTAATTCTCTATTGTTGAAGACTTTTCAGTGACATGCATGTTTTATAGGATAAAATGGCCTAGGTTCATTAACATTGTTCTAAGTAGTGTGTAGATAACTGTTACTCGAATTGGAGATTTATCCACCACTTTGTTTGTCATTTGGATGCAGATTTTAAAAAAGCGTCCACTGATGAGAAGTTAAATTCATTCAACACCTTGATCAAAGCTTTTCAAGAAGAAGTTGACAATCTTACAAAGAGGGCAAAGTTTGGAGAAAATGCTTTTCTTAATATCTACCAGAAGCTTTATGAAGCCCCTGATCCCTATCCAGCACTTTCATCTGCTTCTGTGAGGACAATTTCTGCATCTTATTTACATCCTGTTTGAATGTAAAGCTCAAAAATTCGATTTATAGTTTTGAGAGCCATGGATCAAGATACATGTCTCAAGGGTATTTGACCAGATTAATTTTTGTTTGTTTTTCGGCTATATTTTCTCATGAAAGTCTTCAGGGAGGGAGGAAGGGGTCCTGTAATAAGGTGGATTCATTTCTCTCAGCATCTTTTTTCGAAGTATCATTCCCAAATCAGGTGGATTTACTGAATCCTGTAAATAACCACTCGAGGATCTCAGAAACAAAGCATTGCTTTCATCTGAATTGCTACTTTCATTTGATGCTGTTGCTCCATTCGTATCATCAATCTTGTTGTGTGGTCCTTTGAGTTCTCCATTTTCAAATCAGTAACAAATCAGCTGTCCTTGTCAGAATTGACTATCCCTGTTTTTACCTGCATATTCAGATTGATATCTCTGAATTTATACTTATCCATGGATGGCGACTTGGTTGTGACGGTAGTTGATTTCATGCATATAGGATCAAGAGCTGAAAATCTCCGAATTAGAATCTGAGAACAGAAAAATGAAGCACGAGCTTGAAGAGTTCAGAACTGAGGCTACTCATTTGAAAAATCAGCAAGCCACAATAAGACGTCTTGAGGAGCGTAATCGCCAGTTAGAACAACAGGTTAGTACCTATGAATGAAAAAAAATGTGAATAATAGTGTGCATTTCTTGTTTTCTACATTATTTATGGGCATTGCAAGTTCAGAGGTGTGGTAATTATCTTTCAAAAATAATTGTGGATCGTGTGCAATGTTGCACATATAGCTAGAATGACTTAAAGCTTGGTGCGGTGCCATTGTTTGAAATCATCAGATTTATCTCTGTTCGTCAATGTCCATAATTTGTACTAAATTTAAGGGATAACTCTCATCGTGTATACATGTTGTTTCTTGTTATATTTTCATTTGTTACTTCCTTGGAGTCTCATATTTGGTCCGTTGAGTTGTGAATAGCTTTATTTCAGATATACTAACCTGCTAAGTAGGATACTATTAACTACCAATGTTTGTTTAACACTTACTGAATTGCAATTGGGTTCCAGATGGAGGAGAAAGTGAGAGAAATTGTTGAGATGAAACAGCGTAGTCTTGCTGAGGAAAATCAGAAAACACTTGAGGTTTTAAAAGAAAGGTATTTCATTTCTTGTGTTGTGGGATACTGGCAGACTGTATTTCTTGGAGTGCAGGTTACAGGTTTTATGTATCTGGAGATCTAGTTTAAACAGATGTACATTTGTGCGCTTTTTTTTTCTTTGGTGGTTTTTTGATTTAATGTGCGGGGATTTCTTTCTTTATTTGTTTTATGACCACGGTCTATTAGATACTGATGATATTTATTATGATTTGTGCTTATAATGGATGTAGAGAACTTTTGTTGCAAGATCAACTTAGACAAGCCAAAGATAGTGTTGTCACCATGCAGAAATTGCAAGAGTTTGCCCAGAGCCAGATGTTTGAACTGCGTGCTCAGTCAGGTATTTGAGTCCCCTGTATGAACGTACTTTTATGTTCGTTCAGACATGAATTAATGTAAAAAAAAAGGCACTCAAAAATTGTCATTTTAGGGACTTATACCATTTGTGATTGGCTGAGTCCATGAAACTTGATTATCTCACATTTGAGCCTTGGCGCACATTAGGATCAACTGAAATGAATAGTCAAAGACTTTAACGGGAACCATAGTATTAGAATGATTTTGGAAACAACTAGATATGAGTTGGATTCAAATCAATCCGAGCCTTATGCATCACAGCCAAGTTGGTACAATTTGGTTAGATTGTTCAATTTTTCTGACCTCAATTAATAATGACTTTGCCAGCAATGATTTTATTGTATTAAGAGTATATTTGATACGTTTTAGAGGAGGAGAGGGCTGCGAAGCAATCTGAAGTCAATCTTCTTATGGATGAAGTTGAAAGGGCTCAAACAAGATTGGTCTCTCTTGAACGTGAGAAGGTATTATCGATCCTTTTATCAATGACATTCTCAGAAGCTTGCCTTTTAGTATGTATGCTTTGTGTTGCCTTCACGACCGTTTTAACTTTAGGGATGCATCTGAACGCGCATTTCATCAAATTATGCCCAATCTTTGAGAATTTAGAGTGGATTGGTAATAAATTCTTGAATGTTATGATATGCCGACTAGGAAAGAAAAATGTGTTTATAATTATCTGCCAATCTTAATATTGCATTGTGGATAGCTGGGCTCAGATGACCTGTTAGGGTGGCTGAAGGGCTAATTTTTTGTCTAACATTGCATTGACTGAAATAAATCCTTTTCTGGTTGCCGATATTGTGCTGATTTCTCATAAAGAGTAACCGTTGTATCTTTTTGTTGTTCAGACCATGGCTTTCAGGAAAGTGTGTTTGTGACATAAAGATTCATCATAATGCGGAATGTATTTGCTTATTAAGCTACATCCGTTGTGAACTGCTAATCCTGTGGTCCTTACTTTTTTTCTTCAGAAAAGATATCTTTACGTCAAAATGAACTTTACATGCAGGGTCTGCTGCGCTCACAGTTGCAGTCAGCGACTGAGGATAATGGGAATAAGATTAGGTAAGTTTGATTGTGTTGATAAATGTCTCTACCAGACTTATGTGCAATGAGTAACTATGTACTGAGCCGTTGACTGTAATTATTTATGAACTTGAACTTGATGGGGTGCCTTTTAATTCTTCAATTTTTCTCTCTATGTACTTGATGCCTCACCACTTGAACTTAAGTTACTTGAGCAACCAGACATACTGGATTGATCAAGCTGGAGAAATTACAAAAGAAAAATTCCAACCCATTGCCTTCTTATAACATTTGAATTTGCTCTTATCGTCATTGTCAACAACAAACTTTGGGGACCACCGTTGATTTAACATGGATTAAACTTGAGAAATTATGCAGATGAAGGAATTCGCTGACCTCTGTAAGATAAAAGAGAAGGTTTTTGAGGAGTCCGTGAAAACTTTACTACCTGTATTATCAGAAGTTACTCTTATATGACAAGCAGAACGGCTGGATTTTGTGGAGAAGTCAGAGGGAACAACTTTTCTGCATCTTAGTTGACGACATGCTTATTATTCCCAGCCACTGTGGCATATTTTCCAAATGGAATCATGTCTATTTCTTGGCTAGGGTCTGGAAGCTGGGTGACAGGCAGAGTCAGCTAACATTTTTTTGTAGGACAATGCAGGGAAGTCTTGGATTCCTTTCCACTATTTTCTCCTTCCAAAATGGAAAAAAAGGTTCCAGCAGTGAAATATGTAGCTATTCTCGTGTGTGCTCTTATTAAATTATATTCTTCTTTGCTGAAAATCTGTTTCAATCATTTATCTTATTCGGCAATCCTTGCATACAATGACAAGTTTATCTCTTAATGGGGGGATGACGATTTTGTCAGCTGGGGTAGCGTGTAGGGTCAGTGCATGATTGAACAAGTATCATGATACATGTTGTAGGGTTGTAATATTATGGTTTCTATCCGGTATTAGGAAGAAGTCTTTAATGCTGGCCAGGATGGAAAGGTAAACTTCTCTTCTGCAAAGGAAGCTAGTATTATATGAAGTTGTTCTATGGCGTCAATGAGGGAAAATTTTCAAGCCAATTTTTGAACAAGAGAGAATGAGAAACTTGTTGTAGAGTAGCTCATACGGCTGTCTTTCTACTTTTGGTTGACTAATTTCTTGCAACCAATGTGAGGAAGAGGAAGACACAAATCATATGCTCGTTGGATACCATCAACTAGATGCCACAAAGAACCAATCATTTAAAAGACACTCATCCTGGAATAAATAGTAAAAACATGATCTGTAAATGGTAGAGCTCGAGGAGGCAGGCCTTTCAACACAGCAAGCATTAGTTGAAACCACTACTTTGAAGGCATCTCTGCGACAAGGTGGGGAAGATTTGTAAGATGTTGATCATATAGGAAAATAGCTCAACAAGAGAATTGCTTTAGCGCCTCCATTCCTGCGATGGGTGGCCCATTTAGATTTTTTAGTCTCTGGCTGAAAACCCTAGTGCAACATGAACAGCCATTCCACATGCCGTGCTTGGCTTCACATGAAGATTCGATGGTCCTATTCTGACAAGAAAGCGATTCATCTTGCACATTTGGGATGTGTCAAATTGTTTTTTGCATGCGAGCTGTTGTCTTTTAATTGTTTAAAAAAATGATAGAAGAATCTTTCTAGGATGTGTTAAAATTTTGGTCTCTCATGGTTTTTTTTGTATGAATATTGATAATGATTTGCTTGTAATCACGGGCACTACATGTCCATCTTTTATGTTACCCATTTCTAAAGTGCTAACTATTGTTCTTTGCATATTTGCTGCATCTTGTTCTTTTGAACGTTATCTTATCTACACTGTAAAATTTTAGAAAAAGGCCAGTGCAGAAAAATGACAACTGCCTTAGGGCCCAAGTGACCAACATTAGCTTGGGCTGTAGAGTGGTCTGTAGTTATCCATTTGGGAACTTCTAACCACCCTTCAACCCATGGAGGCACAAAACATAACTAGTATATATGACTTCAGTTTTGGGAGAATAGTTATTTGGTTTCATACATTCTTTAAAAGCGCACCAGGTGCAACAAATATGCAAAACGTGCCCTCGAGTTTGCAAATAAAATCATACAGGCACATGTATGTGGTATTATGGAAATTCAAGTGATTATGGTTTCACTGTGGATCTACACGGTTCATAGTGATGCAACTTGTCTTTTATAAAGGCTATTGGAGCTTCATGTTTTCCCTCACTGTTCATTCCTGGAAAAGAGTGTACCTAACTTATTTCTTAAGACATAACGTTAATCATTTGGAATGATAGGATTCCTTTTTGCCACTTTTCTTTAAGTTATTATTCCCTTCTTGCATGGCAGTGATTACTTGGATTCGAGTCAGATCCTGGAGAGTACTTTGAATGCAAAGGAGAAGATAATATCTGAGTTGAGCATGGAGCTTCATCAGATCGAATCGACCTTGTCAAATGAACGGGAGAAGCACATAAGTGAGATCAAAAAGTTGAATTCAGTACTCATTGAGAAGGTACTATGATACTCCCTTTTTATACCTTCTATTGTTATAGATTATATGGTGAGTTAATTGCTAAAGCTATATTTCAAATCTTCTAATCCGGCCTTAGGGTTACGACACCTCCACCGTGAGAACAACAGAAAGATATGAGCAGGAAAAAGCAATTTTCATTTCTAGTCTTGCTGTACTTTAGTACAGAAAATATGGTCCCAACAAGACCCAATGGATCCATATCGGATCTCATAGGGACATAATAGAAATAAAGGAAAGCAAAAACACAAAACAAAAGTAGGACGAGGTCTAATGAATGTTGACACTATATATATGATAAACTTGGTGTGCTTGATGTTAAAACCAGTTTTCTTGACCTTGGTTCCTCTATTCATAGTTTTTTCTATCTGGTACTAGATACAATATCCTTTGTTGTAATATAGGTAAATCATCTTTTTCCAAAGCGGACAGTATTCCATATTCGCTAAGATCAAGAAAAAATAAATGAATATACAGGTATGCGAAGCCATTGGATTATCTGGATAGAATTTGAAAATTTCTAAATCCTGCAAGGCAAACTGATTTGAAATGAAGGATTTATCTATGTCTCGTTATAACTCTTTATGCATGATTTTATGTGGCAATTAGTACTTTTCTTATGTGAGTTGCCATCTGATTTTTTAAGAAGGCCTTTTTGGGTGGATCAGTTAATGACATTTGGGCCAAATCATGTATCTCCACTCTTTTCCTATCAGATTTTTTTTCCCATGAACTGAAACCATTCTGCTGGGATTGATTCCAGGGAAATGTTAAAACTTGATTGAGCTTATAGACCGTATCTTCTTGGTTGGATCCTAATTTTCTATTTCACATCATTAAAGGGTGTTTCTCTGCCACTGTCAAAAATAGTGGTAGTTTCAAAGTTGGAAAATAAAATCTGGTGGTATGTTCATATTTACAGGTGAGCTTTTGTCTATGTGCATTTTTTGGGCAAGTCAACTAGCTCTCTTGCTTAACAAGATCGTGTGTCAAATTTCTTTTGGTTGATCAAATTTGAAATTACTCAGGTTCATTTAAATGGCTTTAAAATGACTGCCTTTTGCCTTTACGATTTCAGATACGACCTCTTATAACCTTATGTGAGGGAGAATCAATGAGGGATGTGGTGGTTGAACAAGCTAAAGGCATATGAGATATTGGATCATGGGAAACTGATGGACGTGATGCGTGGAGAACATGGTGGTTAGTAGATGTGGCAAAAAAATAAGATTAGTCTAGCATTCTATTTGAGGAAAGCATAAATGCCACTGAGGAGATTGTCGATGCATTTTAGAAACAGTCTCAACTGCAGATTGTCAGCTTGCATTAGGGGGCGGGGTCATGACTTTTATCTGAAATATTATAAAATATTGATGTTTGGTGATTTGAGCTCAGTTGGGAAAAATGGGGTAAGAGATAGGTTAGTTATCATTGTTTACTGTTGGGGTGTGGGGGGACAGAGACAAAGGGAGTGCGAAATTATTGGCGTGAGGACACTTTCTTTTTCTGTGTTCCTGCTTCTATCATGATTAAGGAACAAGCTAGAAGGATTGGGCTTTTGCATTTTTTATTTTTATGTTTTCTGCACGCTTCTAATTTTTTTTTTGCTACAGGATACTTTAATTGAAGACCTAAGGAAAGAAATACATGAAAGGCCAACGGCAAAACTTGTCGAAGATCTTCGTAAGAAAGTGAAAATTTTACAGGTATGTGTGTCAAATATTCTACAGTCAATAGGGCAATGTCATTCTGTTGTACCTCTTTGCTCTTTAACTGCCGTGCCAAATTTCTAACATACTAGATGACCCGTTTTCTGGTGAAAACCATATCTTTGATTCCCTTGATCTTGTAGAATGCAGAATAAACGTAGTTGAATAAAGGCTTCAGGGAACTAGAATTCAAGGAAATGACAAGTATATTATGATCTCTCTTGCATTGACATTGATATCCAGGTTATTTCGTAGAGCTTTGCTTGGTGTATGGAGAAGCCACACCTAAGGTTATAAAATGAAAGAGAAACATTCGCAGATGGCACTTTGAATGAAAAAGTTACGCACAGAACAGGGCAGACGTGTAGATATATGCAAAATGTCATGATTCTACCCTCACAAACGATGCTTTTTGCATATATATATATATATTTATGGACACCCATGTGTCCACATTCCTCTCTCTCTCTCTCTCTCTCTCTCTCTTCTTCCCTCTCATGGTAGCCTGTATGAGTATATGGTACCTCATATGAGTACATCAATCACTAGATTGGGCTACATATAGGAGCATCACAGATTATGACTGTAAGAGTTTTAAAGGTGAGATTAAGGCTTATTGTTCCTAGAAATCTCCATTCAAGTCTATTTGAACAGGAATGAACTTGAAGGTGGCATGCTGTGACCTGCTGAATGGTGGCATTTTGTGCATCCTTCATTATAGTTGTTCTTGATTCAACATGTTGAATAACCATCATCTATCTTCCAACTGTCACTATCTATTTGGTGAAAATTCAAGGGTATAAAAAGTTGATAAAAGTTGATCAATGCTTCAAAGGTAAAATTATGGCTGCCAGTTTGACCCAACTATTATCCAAAATAGACTTGGTCAAGAAAACGTCAATTGTATAATCATGACCAGTTAATGGAGCAAGTTTTGTTTTGGGTCGAGACTCAATGTGGTCTAAAATTTGGATTGATATCCTGATAATCTGTAAATGTTATTGGCACTTTTGTGTGCGTGTGATCCTTTATTCCTAAGTATCTGATTATGAGGTGTTGAAAGTGCTACACTTTTACAAGCTCATCTGTATGGGCATCATTACTTGGAATTTGGCACTTGATTACAATCATAGTTGTGAAGGTGACCAATGCGTTCAAGGCAGTGGGCTAAATTTTCCTTAGCCTAGTTTCACTAAAGATTATAAATGACCTTAATGTATCTCATTGCATACTTTGTTAATTTCACTTGAAACTAATTCTATCCCATGACATCGATGAACATTTCGTGCTCACGAAAATTGGAAAATAAAAACATTTTCACTTGTGAAGCACATTCAAGCACATCATCTCGGTGATCATCATAGTTATTATTTGACTAGTTTTCGCAATACAAGTTGACATTTTTTTTTTACTAACAGAATAATTATTGATTCATCAAAACTTCATAGCACAGCTTTCGGGTCCTTAGTTTTGTTTTATAGTATCTCTATGATCGGATTTCTTGATCTCAATAAAGCTGGATAATGGAGTTGGACACAGTTCATCGCCCTAAAGATGAGATGAGACCAAGTGTGGAATTAATATTTGAGCTTTGGCTTATTTCTAATAATATATTTGATATGATATTAATCGCCATCCCTTGTTTTCATGAGTCTTTACATGGCTAAGAAACGTGTTTTATGTTTTAATAAGTTTGGGGAGTTATGTTAATTTTTGTTTTCGAAAAAGTTTCTTGTAAGAGGATTAAGGAGACAAACAAGATCAGTGTAGTTCTGAATCACTTGGGCAAGAAGCACCTCTGGGTTCCTTGTGGTTTACTAAGTCTTAAGTGTAGTATATGGTTGCCTAAAAAAAGGCCTCAAGTTATCACTACAGCTTCTACTCATCCTTCTGCATCATCGAAGTGAATATTTTGCCTTCAATGCTTTCGATCTAAAGATTTTTTCTATCCAGTTCCTAAGTTATACTCTTGGTTTTTTTTGTTCTGTTCTCCTTGTATTCACATGTAAAGTGTTCTTTTGATTTCTTGTGTTCCCTTTCTCGTTTAATTTAGGATATTCACTAAACTTAGGATTATGTCCACAGGCAGTTGGATACAACTCGATTGAGGCTGAAGATTGGGAGCTAGCTACCAGTGGTGAAGAAATGAGCAAGTTAGAGTCTTTGCTGCTTGACAAGAACAGAAAAATGGAGCATGAACTGACACAATTGAAGGTCTGAAATGAGATTATGAACACTAATGATCTATGGTTATTATTTTATTCTCTGTAGGTTAGTATATGCAGATGCCAAAATGAAGCCTATTTGATAGAGTGCCTATTTCTGCATGCGAGTATCGTACTTCGAACAGGAAAATTCGCCATTGCAAGAATAAGTATCTGGAATATGTAAATGTATTGTGCTGAAAGCTTAGCAGTTGTTATGATGCTATTCATCTTTATTAGGAAAATAGTTACCTTTTCTATGTCTTGCATTGGTGCTGGAATTCCATGAACTGAAACTTTCTTTTTATCAATTGTTCCTTAATCTTACTTTAAAGGTTAAACTTTCGGAGAAAGAAAGTCTGTTGGCAGCAGCTGAGACAAATATCGCAGAGTTGAATGCGAAGGTGCATGAACAACAAAAATTGATAACAAAGCTTGAAGATGATATTCTCAAGGTTCGTTCCTTTGATTTCTTGCTTCAAGTTTCATTCAAGTGATGTTTGTTCAATACTTTGGACCATTCTGGATTATGTTAGTGGATGCTTTAATTACCTGAGATAACACGCCAATGCTAACTTGCTGTGTGACATATGGAATTGTTTTGAGGAGAGGATGCAAGAACTGGTATATTAGTTGGCTTGTTATCTCGGTCTCTCCATGCGTAAGTTCAATGTATGCATGTGGAGGATGTCATACTTGGAAGACAAGAACGGTTATATTGCTTCAAAATGTGGCCTCGACTAGATGTGCCTATCTATCTTTGAAGTGTACTTTGATACAACTAGTCTGTCCATAACAGAAATTCACACATCAAATGAAAAAGGTGGTAAAGTCCTTGGAAGATGTGGGAAAGAATGCTATTTCAAAATGTGAACTAAACTAAATGAACCTCTTTGGTGCCCCTCCTTCCTGACAAGAATGACCCGATCATTATTTTGTTTGTTTTACATATACCAGTTTTTTCCCCGTAGAGACGCAATCAACTACGCATATATTAATAATCATCAAATGTTGTTGTCTGATACTTCAGAAAATGCTATACACCAACTGCATTTTTTTATAAAACTTGGTTACAAGGAAGCTGGAAAGAATTTTTTTCTTAGGTGTTAGTATAATAGGGATGTAAGGATATGGAGAGCTTTTATATAACCTTGATATAATAAACTTTGCCAGGTTTAAAGGACTTTAGGAGTATTCACACAGTTATCTAAATGAATCAGTTAACATTATTAGCAAACTTATTGCATTTTCCATTAAGATGAAATAGGGTTAAAGTTTAACTTTAAAATAAAATTTCTTTATTCCATATCATTAATAGAAAAATGGAGAAAAATATGAATACATATTATAGTACTCGGTCAAATTTGCTCCGTTCCTCCCCTAGATTCATACACGTGTTGAAACATTCTCTACGCAAGAAACCTACCTAACAGTATGTTTACAATTCTTGTCCCAACACCCACGGGAAGAAAACTAAAGAAGTCTGGAAATCTCTCTGCTTCTAATTTTCTCCAGCATGAAGTTTCTCATCCGTTTAATGATTTGATATCTCATTTTATCGTCCAGAAGTCTGTGTTTTGAGTCACCAGCATTGATGGGGTAACAATTAGCTCCATCCACAATCCTTTCCCCCCTCTTTTATCTAATCCCCGGTGAAAACTTAGTCTAGTCCTTTGTTCTGTGTTTATGTTGGTGTTGATGTGATCCTCTCAATATCCACACTTGTTCTTGGTTAGGCTTAACAATAAAATCTATGTTTTAGACGAGATCGCACACTCTCTCTTGCACTCACTCTCCATTTTAAACCACTTAGCTTCGTGATGATCTTACTGTAAATCTCGTTTGAGGTGCCAACATGCCTCATTTTTTCTTACAGTCCTCGCCTTTTTGTATAGGATATCAGGAAGGTTTCGTCAGTTAATCCCATCTTGACGTGCCTCACTTTTGCATCAGGGCTTCACTCTGACAGCTGAAAAGGTTGCTTTTTAATTGAGAAATGCGGTGAACTAATTAGTCTTAGCGAGGAAACACGAAAGACAATATTAAATTTAGTTCTCATTAAATGAGTCATTGAACTTTATCTTTTCTTCGTTCAATGTGATTTTACATGAATGACTTCAAATAAAAAATTCAATTACTGAACAATGAGGTCTTTTAATGAGGATTTATTGAAGTTCTTTTATGAAGGTTTCCAATGTAATTTTGTGTTGGACAATGAGGTCTGCTGTCTTTACATCAATGTTTTTTCGCTCCAGAAGTTTGATACCTAGGTCTTTCATCAAGTCTTCATGTAATTGGCTCTTGCATCTCCCTTGATTTTTGTTACACTATTCCACTCTATTATGTATATGCAAAGTTTCTTCGTGGAAATAATTACCTTGAACAACTTTTAGGAAATCTTGCATTCTATTCCTGGGAGTGTGGGCAGTTGGTTGAGGCAAAAATTGTATATATTTTTCTCTTTTTTCAGTTGATGTTTCACACATATGAATAAAGTATATGTTCTTGGCAATTGGTTTTTCTTTTTTCTATTCATCAATATCTTTTGCAAATTCAGTTTCTCTATATTCTGTGACTGTACCAATGGTCTCTGCACCGGACAAAGATTTACTGTTTATTTTCTTCTGAAATAGGGTTACAGTTCGGCAGATCATAGAGGTGCCATTCTGCATGACTGGGATTTCCAGGATATGGGAACAACTGAAGCAGCTGAGGTACTCCTCATTTCTCAAAGCTAGTTGATTTTGTTGGAAGTTATTTCCTTCAGACGTTAGGAATTTGCAGAATGCATTTCAATATGCTTTAGTGAGTGATTTAATTGAGTAAAGATTTTTTGAGTAAAACCTAGATGTTATCTTCTCTTTCGAAAGTTATAGAGGTATTTGATTTTCTCTTCATTATTAAACAAGCAGAATCTGTCTGTGGCATGCCTATTATGCTGCCTTTAGTTGGTAGTGTGATAGATGTCTATATCGATTGTGACAAAGAGCAAGTCATTGGTAGGCGCAATATACTGTTGAAAACTTCATTGCCAATGAATTTAGCTCGAAATATAACCTAGAAAATGAATGCTCCGATACTTGAGCTTTTACTGTCCAGCTATCAACTTGACGGTCATCCCCATTGAAAATGCAAGAACAAGAGTAAATCATTACGGGATCATCACACCTACAGTTTTAGCACATCTATTCTGTAGCCCCAATGATCTGTGTATCGAGTTGAATGCTGTGCAAGTATGGTGCTTATGCTCATGTGAATGAACACTTTCCTGGTTGTTGGTATGGTTTATGATGGTTTTTTATGGGATCATGTGTTTGTTTGGTAGAAATCATCTTTGGAAAAAAGGGTTATGGTGAAGGCCATTTTAGAACTTTCAATGACTGATCCTTAGACATTTCACCTGCTCCGTTATGAAGGCCATTTTTTGGAATGTTTCCTTCAGGCAGATGCGTGACATATAGAAAACCATCATTCATTGGCAGTTTAAGTCATATATTTGGTGAGCAATAACGAGTGAATATGGATTTTAATACGTATCACACAGGAGTAGCTCAATCCTGGTCATGTGTTTCCTTGTTTAGTTGACTTGTTCTGACCTATAATAATCTTTGTTCTCCGGTTGTGTCATATTAATGACATTTCTTCTAAAAAGGGAAAAAGAAAGTCTGACTGAACGTTGTTTGGAGTATGTATATTTTGTCGTATTAATAAACTTTCCCTTTCTTAGAGTTATATATATATTGTCAGCGCTGTGCTTGTTATTTTTGTGCTGATCTAAAGTTCTCACTTATTCTGACTTGTCTTGATTTGCTTGAGTCAACGGTGGTGACGCGAGTATTTTAAAAAATATAGTTATATGTGGTAATCACGTAAGTTTTTTTCCCTAGTTTCTCATTACATCATGTGAGACTTGATCAATTTCTGAACACGTTAAGTTTTTTGTCGATCAATTGTCTTTCTGGTGATGATTGACATGAATTTCTGAATCTTTAGTCGACAGCATTAAATGTCCCACGATTTCCTTATGAGACATACGATTTATTTTCCTTCAAATCAGATCGCAGACCAAAAGCATGCTTCTCTTGATCAAGATCAAAGCTCCATGCTCAAGGTGATATGCAGTCAACGTGATCGGTTCCGAACTCGCCTTCGAGAAACAGAAGAAGTACGTTCACTCGCCATATGCCGCCATGCTAATAATGAAACATCTTCTCATTCTCCAACTCTCGGATCGCAAATTTTCTTGCAAATTGCTCATTCTTGGTGGATCGTTCCTCACTTTTGCTATATGTCTTAGGAAGTAAGACAATTGAAAGAGAAGATCGGATCACTCAGTATTGAACTGGAGAGAACCAAAGCTGATAATGTAAAGCTCTATGGAAAGATTCGATATGTCCAGGACTACAGCCTTGAAAAGTTGGTCTCCAGAGGACCCAAAAAGGTTGGTGCGTTTTCTCATGCAACTTTTCCTCTGTCTCCTGGTTCACCATCATTTTTTCTTCACATTTTCCTCAGTTCTCTGAAGATCTTGAAGCCGGGTCTACCTCAGATTTCGAATCCAAGTATAAGAAGATTTATGAGGAAGACATAAATCCCTTCGCTGCTTTCTCAAAGAAGGTATGTTCTTGCATTGCTCACTGCATCGTCGACTAAACTGATGCCATTTATAGGATGTAATAGATTATTTAATCTTTGTCTATTCACTATGATCGGTTATTGGAACCGTGCAATCTATCAGGCTTGCATACATTTCACTTCTAGAATTATGATACATGAAAAAATGTTGATTATTTTTTTTTCAGGAAATGGGTGGGGTATCTTGTGTAAGTGTCATATGATAGATAATACTATGCTATCAAGAGAAACAGGCGCCGGTACTTGATTCCCAGTTATTGCAATATCGCTCCAATTTGTCAAAACCTTTTTAGGGTTCCTGCAATTGATTCCATATAAGGTATTAAAACCCACGCTTGAGAAACACAGAAGTCAAACAAGATCAAATTAAAAGTTTCGTTCTAGTAGTTGTGGTGGTGGTTACTTCACCTACATTTATGCTGCATTGCGTCCTCTATCTTTTGAATCTCTTCTGATTTGTCTGACTTTGTACAGGAAAAGGATCAGAGGTACAAGGATCTAGGACTTAGAGATAAAATCACACTCAGCAGTGGCCGATTTCTTCTGGGTAACAAGTATGCCACCATCTTTGACTTTTGCATCCATCAACCCTTTTGCTAGTCATCGGAAATTCCTGTCACTTTTTCTTGTACAAGTCAAAACCTTCCGGAGCAAGTGCCATTTATATTGTTCTTCATTAGACTAAGATTAGCTGGATATACTGCATTTACATATGTCTTTGTCCTTTCCCTCCGTGAAAACTTTACAGAAAGAAAAAAATCTAACAACTGTTTAGAAAAACCCATAAAAACTTGAGAAGATGCATTCTGGGCACAATCTGTATCAAATCTTGAATTAGAAGATAATAATTTTATTTTATTTTATTTTTTAATTTTTTTAAAGGGTGGATGCAGACCATGGCTTTTAGAATGAGCTAGTCATATATATATCTTTTTTAGTAATAGAATTAGATCCCAGTCAAGCATATAAGGCACAAAAGTGTTCATGAGCCTTCTGGCATCTGTTGGCACTCAGCTTCACGGGAAGATAATTTTCCTATTTTGTAAAGATGACCAGATATCTTCATCGTTGACTTTACATGGACTTTTTCTTAAGCATGGTTGAAAATTCTTCTTCTGTTCCTTCTTCGCAGATACGCTCGAACTTTCATCTTCTTCTACTCGATCGGGCTGCATCTCCTCGTGTTTGCCTGCCTTTACCGGATGTCCGCATTAAGCTATCTCAGGTTCAGGAAAGAAAAAAAAAAAGAAAAATCATCTGCCCATCTTTTCAACTCCCGACTGCCCGTTGACTTATCTCCCCTCTTTCCATTGGCAGCAATGAAAACATGCACCAAGAACACATTGTACGCGCTGGGTCATCATAGAAAACTGCAGTAATGCATTACAATTCCGGAATCCACTGCGAGAGTCAAGGGAATCAATCTGACGGGTCAACGGAGATGCGTTTCCTGACCAGAAAAGGAAGGTGGTGATAATGTAAATGCATGGCGTTGGTTTCCTTTTTTTTACTTTTTTTTTCTCTCATTTACAGTGACTGTGCTGTCATCTGATCATAAATCCAGAAAATCCTGAGCTCATTCTCCGGTGTTCTTCCCTGATTCAACTAGAAAATGCATTCTGAACTCAAAACTGTTGTTTTGGGGAGTTGGTAACTCATTCCAAGATTCGACTGGAGGGATAGTGCGATGGTAACCCATTCCAATAAGACATTTCAGGAATGCATTATATACAACCCCGAGCTGGAGGAAGAGAGAGAAATCAGAGAGAGAACCCGTAGGAACACAGTTTGAAGGGCTTTCGAGACTTCCTACCCTCCTCACTGGCCTTCTTTGGAGTTCAGTTGGCCCATTGGGCCGTTGACCGGTCCACTTGGGCCGGCTTCCTCCTCTGTCGGAAATGCCTGCGGATTGGGGTCGTATCCGCATTCCACCAGCGTGAATGGAGGGACCTCATTACCGTTTATGTTTCATCAGTAATTCATTCTGAGATCACATTCTATGAACGCATTCCGAGAGATCATAACTGGCTACATACTATGTAATGCACAAGGGAGCTTATATGTTGTTTTGAGGATTTGTGCTCAAAGAAGGGTGGCGGTAAAACTATTCCAGTAACGCATTCCGAAAATGATTACCCATTCACCAAAAACATTACACGTTTGAGACGCATTTCTATCTAACCCATTACAAAATTCACTACAAAATTAGAGAGAGAGAGAGAGAGAGAGAGAGAGAGGTAGATTCAAAGGCTGATCGTATGATTTGAGGGGAAGAGTGGGTTGGGGGTGCGGGGTCGAGATATTTATTATAATCAACGAGTCGGATGGGGTTGGCGCTGTGGTTCGGTAACTTCACCGGTAATGAGTTCCATCCCCATTGGGATGCCAACTCCGACTCGGACTCTCGTTCCAAGCTAAATTTGACGATTGTCAACTCTTTGACGTGGCAAGAGCCCATTGGACGAGAGACGTGGCCGAACCACCCGATATTCAAGCGACCTCTTCCGTAGGCCTCCTATATAAATCCTTCTCTTTCTCTCTCTCTCTCTCTCTCTCTCTCTCTATCTCGCTCTCTTCCTTTCTCTCTCTATTTTACTCTCTCTCTCTCTCTCTCATCTTTCTCAAGAGTTGGTTGCTTAGATCGAAGTCTGCGGGGGGTTCATCGGCGCTGCTAAGGTTTGGATCTCCTTATATTCTGGTTTGGTTAGGGTTTTTTTCTCTCTCTACGATTTGCCGAAGCCTGGATCAGGAGGAGGCTCATCTCTGACGATTTTCCGCTTGAGAATTGTCGATCTGCGATTGAGTCTCTTAGGTTTTCCAGGATTCGTCTTAGAAGAGGAAGATGGCGGGGGGGTTCAGGGTGCTGCATCTCGTCCGCCCTTTCCTGGCTTTCCTCCCTGAGGTTCAGAGCGCCGATCGGAAGGTTCCGTTCAGAGAAAAGGTGATCTACACGGTGATCTCTCTCTTCATTTTCCTGGTCTGCAGCCAGTTGCCCCTGTATGGAATACACTCCACGACGGGCGCAGATCCGTTCTATTGGATGCGTGTTATCATGGCGTCGAGCCGTGGGACGGTCATGGAACTCGGAATCACCCCCATTGTTACATCGGGCCTGGTGATGCAACTTTTGGTCGGGTCAAAGATCATCGAAGTTGACAACAGCGTGCGAGAGGACCGCGCCCTCTTGTAAGTATATCTGGAATCTCTTAGGTCGCTGATAATGGTTGTCTAACTCGTGGATGGGTTTGCTTTTAGATTTTTTGCAAAATAATTGTAAGATAAGCCGGATCAGGATGAGAGGGACATAGATTTCGAAGTTTTAATGTAAATCTTGTGCGACAGCGGGTTTCGGGTACAGTTTTCGCATTCGGATGCATGGTTTTTGGTCAATCTCATTACAGCTAGTTGTTTCTTTGTACAAAGCAAGAGCCTGTTACTTGATGCGGCAACCGATCAATGAATTTCCGCTGAGTAATGGTTCCACCCCGATGAATTTGGTCCTGCATGTCTTTCCTTGAAGACCTCATTTCATGCTGTGATGCTAGAATTTCCAAACATTGTCCTTGCATCAGGAAGTGGATTTCCTTTTGTTTGAAGAAGCACGTCAATGTGCTAATTATTGTACTAAAGTGATATTCCAATGTTATTGGTTAGAGGGCATGTAGTAATAGTCCTTTTTAAAAAATTAATAACAGTGTAAAAGGGGAATTTTTTCGTAAAACCAAATAATTTAACTATTGCGTAAACTCTGAATGGATTCATGCGTGCTAACAATAGTCAATGTGTTTTTTTTCAGCGAAGTGTTTTTTTTTCAAAATAACAGAATAAATCATCAAGACTTGCGATTCGCTCGAGCCCCGTTCAAGAAGTTTGGGCATTCAAATTTAGTTTTCGTTTTGAATTAAATTTAGGGATGTAATTATCAATCCAGTTTTCATGACGGATTCGTGCATGTTAATTGATACCTTATCCCTTTAATGTTTGACGGACATAGGCATTGACCAAGGGCTTACTGCCCTCGGTTTTTGTTTTGCTTGACCTGGCTGAGATAGCGGGGGTCGTGTTCTTATAGTGTTGTTTCTCTATGTTATCCGTCTCTGATATGCCAAGACAAACTTGATCGCTTTAGTAAAAGGGATAATAGCAAAAAAGAAAAACCCCTTTCTGACATAAATTTCTGATTTTATTTTAATAACGATTTCTGTAGGAATGGTGCGCAGAAACTACTGGGCATTTTAATTGCTGTTGGTGAGGCTGTTGCTTATGTCCTTTCTGGGATGTATGGAAGCGTGGCCCTACTCGGTACAGGAAATGCAATTCTTATCATTCTGCAGCTTATCTTTGCTGGTATTATTGTCATCTGCTTAGATGAACTTCTTCAGAAAGGATATGGTCTTGGCTCTGGCATATCATTGTTTATTGCCACCAACATATGGTGAGTTTACCCATTCTGCATTTGAGTATCTTTTTCCTCTCCACCAAAAGGGACAATACCTCACCTGCGTTTCATTCTGTCATCAGTGAGAACATCATTTGGAAAGCTTTCAGTCCCACAACCGTAAACACTGGACGAGGTGCTGAGTTCGAAGGAGCAGTTATTGCCTTATTCCACCTTCTTATTACACGAACAGACAAGATCCGGGCCCTGCGGGAGGCCTTTTATCGCCAGAATCTTCCAAACGTCACAAACCTTCTTGCAACGGTTTTCGTCTTCCTCATTGTCATATACTTTCAAGGATTCCGAGTTGTTCTCCCAGTGAGGTCGAAGAATGCCCGTGGCCAGCAGGGTTCTTACCCAATCAAGCTCTTTTACACATCTAATATGCCCATCATCTTGCAGTCAGCGCTCGTTTCCAACCTCTACTTTATTTCGCAGGTAAATATCGGCATTCTGAATACATATGGTGCCTATTTGTTGCCATAGATGTCTAAATTCCTCCCTCCCTCACCCCCTTTTTTTTTTCGCTGCAGTTGCTTTACAGGAGGTACAGTGGAAATTTCCTGGTTAATTTACTTGGCAAATGGAAGGAATCGGAGTATGGCAGCGGCCAGTCTATCCCTGTTGGTGGGCTTGCTTACTACATTACAGCACCCGCTAGGTAACAAACATACCAACCTTCATCCGATGCTTATTTCTTTTAAACTTGTGATCGGAATTATCTTAGTTTGACATTATGTGCTGTTTGGAAAATTTACCTGTATATTCTTCCTTTCTATTTACTAATCGTAGACGTATCCTTTCTGGGTTTTGATTCCGCAGTTTGGCTGAGATGGCAGCGAGTCCCTTCCACGCTCTCTTCTACATTGTCTTTATGCTCACGGCATGTGCTCTTTTCTCGAAGACTTGGATTGAAGTATCAGGATCCTCAGCAAGGGATGTGGCTAAGCAACTGAAGGTACTCCAAAGGCTCAACTTTCTTCCATGTGCTAATGCCATTTACGGAAATATTGCTTAGGTCGTTGCTGTTGAGCTAAGGGATATTAACGCTTCAGCCTACCTCCTTTAGAAATATAAGTAGGCATGATATCTAAAATATGCATGATATCAGATGGTGTGTCACGACAATATTAGGTTTTTTTTCATTCTTAATCTTGCACGAAATGCATTGATGATAAAAAATCTCCTGCTCGCTTATTTTTTTCTGTATTCAATTCTCGGTCCGAAATGAAACATTCCATTTATTTATTTTTTTCCATTCCAAATCGAAACTTTGGCAATAAAAATATGCTACTTGCTACTTTTTTCCTTGCTGACTTTATCAGTCAAATCAAATCATTGAACCCTGATATAGAATGCTTCAATGCTGGTATCATCTCCTCGCTTATTCTCCTATTAAACCGATGAAATCGATCGATCCATGGAATTCTCCTCAATCTTCAGCTCTAGCAATCAAATCATATAACCGACGATCAGTCGTCGCTGTTCTTTCAATCAGGCCACCGGCGCCGCCGCCGCCACCCCCTTCTTTCTCTCTCTCTGAACCTCAATCTCTCTACACCAACCATTTCAGGAGCAGCAAATGGTGATGCCGGGCCACCGCGAGTCGAACCTGCAGAAGGAGCTGAACCGCTACATCCCCACGGCGGCGGCCTTTGGCGGCATGTGCATCGGAGCTCTCACCGTCCTCGCCGACTTCATGGGCGCCATCGGCTCAGGCACCGGCATCCTCCTGGCCGTCACCATCATCTACCAGTACTTCGAGACCTTCGAGAAGGAGAGGGCCAGCGAGCTCGGCTTCTTCGGCCTCTGAAACCCCCCCCCCCCCCCCCCCCGCCCCCCACCCCTCCTCGGCCTTCCTCCACAGTTTTTGGCGAGTCGAGAGAGAAAAAAAAGGAAAAAAAGAGATCTTATTAGGCAGCCTTCCCCTTTCTCTTTTCCCTTAACCTCAACCAAGCTTGAGCTCTAGATGTAATGTTATTCTTCCTTAGGATTTTCCTTCTGTTCGAATGAGACTCGGTTGGGTGCCCAAGTAGCTCCACAGTGACACACGCTGTTTCTAAACCTCCACCAGCTCCAGAAATCTCAAGCTAGTAGAGTCAGAGGGTCCTCGTCAGGCCTTTCTCTTCTTTCTCTCACTACACCACAAAGCGGGGTAAGAGAGAGAGAGAGAGAGAGAGAGAGAGAGAGAGAGAGAGAGCACCTCCCTCTCGCTCCTGGTCACCCTATTTCTCTCTCTTTGACATAGGTGTGTAGGCGCGTATTCTTTTCATCTTCTTCGCAAACTTATGACCTAGCCGCATGCATCAATATAAGTATATTTATTTCATTTTATTTCGTACATGGGGCCTAGTCACATTCATGGATGGGCCCGGGTTGACTGTGAAGTTCACGGCCTAGCTGGCCCTTACCAAATCCTGAGATGCAGTCAATGCTTCTTGACCCGCCTAGTAAATATTAGGCCACTAAAATAGTAGGACAGCAGCAGCAGCCAGCGAGCAGCTTGAGAAGGGTCATCTGAACACGTTGACCTAAAGTGGCGGTCCGGACGTCTGGATCTTGGATCGGATCGGTCCGAATCGGACGAGTGGAGGGAGGGGCGGTGCGAGGTGCAGCCCTCTGTCCTGGGTTGGGTTTGAATTGCAGGTCAAATCGGTGCTAGGGGAGAGGAGTCAACTGGGTCGGGCGGAGTGGGGAAGATGCGGTCAGTGTTTGTGGGCCCCGAGGAGAGAAGGGCAACTGGGGAGATTAAAGGTCAAAGATTGAATGGGGCGTCTACTTGTAGGGATATGCTCTTCGTTTTCTCTGTTGACTTGTTAGGCTATACAAGCCAGGAGAGTCCCCCCTAACTCTCTCTAACTCTTCTCTCTCTTTCTCTCTCTCTGGGTATCTTCTCTTTCTCTCTCTCCCCTTTAACAAGATAGACAGAAGAATCTTTCTTAATCAAGCTTCTCTCTCTCTCTCTCTCTCTCTCTCTCTCTCTCTTTTGGGATCATCTTTGATCTCTCTCCCCTCAACAACAAGGACAACAGATGCTTTCCGAATCAAGCTCCCATGTGTATCTTTGTTAATTTCTCTTCGACATAGGACTTGAGCCCCTTCCAAACTCCACATATTTGGATGAAGTCTTCGGGTAGCTTAAGCGATATGGGTGGCCTCTCCGGAACATGACGATCGCCACCTGAACTAACTATTGGTCACCAAGGCCGAAGAGGGATAACTAAATTGGTGTTGAGGGCACAACGATAGAGCTCATAAAACAGTTGAGGTGAGCCCATCATGTTCATGCTGTGGAATGAAGGAAGGTGTAGAGTGTGGGGGTGACCAATTCTGCCAGTGACCAGTTCTCAACCCAAAAGCTCAATTTTGTAATCCCCTACAAAGTAAAAGTTAACGAGGGGAAGGGGATGGATTCACATGATACAGAGATCCAGCAAATACACTCACTGGCCCCGGATGACAATAGGTAGTCAATCTAACTAACATATCAGACTAATAAAGTCCTCGTCGATGCTAACAAAGCTTGGTACGGTAGATTTTGCTTTACGTTCACATGCCATACATGAAGGTCAACCAAGCTCCAAGGATACTTATTAACACAAGGAGTGGCATGGAGGAGTTGACACAAATTCCCAATGAGCGTAAGGAAGAGGGGCTACCACAATGAAGGGCTGCACCTGTCTAGTTGACAACAATTATGTGCATGTGAGAAAACAGATATATTAGTTGAGGAGGTGAATATTCACAGCCCCCCAAACAATGTATCATGTCCTTGAGTTGTTCCCCATCATATGGTCAGCCAAAACTTAGCTATGTATTATTGGCCTTTCATCAATGAAATGACTACTTTTACGAAAAAGAAAAGAAAAGAGAGAGAACACCACATCCCTAGTGGGTAATACGACGACAATAGTGAGCTCCCCTCTTGGGTGATAGGCGGAGGTAGAGTTGAGTTTGGCAGCAATGCCCACTGCAGCAGCATGATGGCATCCATGGCATCCATGGCAAGCAATATAATGGTGGCAGAAAGCTACCCTCATGAGTGACAAGTGGAGATGGAGTTGAGAATAGCAGTGACATCCACGATGACCACCTGATCCTCCTCTTCTAGTCACTATGTTCTCCTACTATGTGACAAACGAAGTTGAGGGAGTTGTGAAACAACGAGAATTATAAACCAAGTTTATTTAACTTAATTTGTGTTATGATTTTGTTGTTTTTTTATTGGCTCAGTCATTTGTGTGACTGGCGCATGGCAAGATCAGACTGTTTACTTCTTCATTTTAAGACTTCCCAATTAATTGTGTTCAATTTTTTTTTAACATCCTTTTTTCATCCTTGGGTGACAGATATTGACAATTTTGATTTTCAGTCATATTTCAATTTCTTCTTGTATCACATAATTGATGTGTATGATTTTGAGTGCAGATTTGAATGTTGTTTTATTTGTACATATTGTGTATTCTCTCCCTTCCCCTTCTTTTCCCCATGCTAAAATGCATCGTAATTGTCTTATTTTGTAGAGAGATATAATAACAATAGTCACGGATGAGATATGATAAATCTTCTATATATTTTTTTTTATTTAATTCTATGAGCATGCGAGAATGTGATTTAATACTGAAGTTGATACTCATCGTTGAGGATCTATCTGAACCACTAGACATTTTAAATTGGTTTCTTATATCTATGTTTGGATGTAAATGTAATCATTTGCTAAAAATCAATGACTAAAATATCATTAATCTTTTGCTATATCAACTGTTCTTTTTACCTTTCAAATGCTTCTAATTGTTCTTATTATTTCGCTACATATGAGTTAGTATATCTTCTTATAACTATCATAGAAAAATCTTATGATTTTTGTAACATCAAATGAATGATGTTTTGATGGTAATAAATATTCACAAGTTCAATTAAAAGATTGAATTAAGCCTAATCTTGAATGTGCTTGAAATGATGATAACATTAAAGTGCTCATATATAATTCAATATAATACTACTAAATATTCATACGAGAATTTATTGAACATACATCTGATCAATAATACTTAGTTTATACATTTGATTGATTTCATTGTGTTGATTATCATATTATATATTATTGTGGAAAGTGTTAAGACTCACAAAGTATGTCATAGTGAGAAAGTAATGGTAATTACATAAAAATCAATGAAATAACATTAGGTAAAATATGAATATAAAGGGTTACTTAGTGTATTATGTACTTGTGGCATTAAATCATTACTTTCAAATAATTTTGATATTATTCTAATTGATTGAATTTAGGTTACCTATTGAGTTGAACATAATTTTCTAGATATTAAATAATATATTTAGAAACTTATTTTAAATATATTTAATCACTAAAATCATGTTATAAATATTGAGAGCATGATTCAAGATATTTACTTGATGATCTTATTTTACTTGAGGTGATTTAGATAAATTTTGATTGCCAAGTCATCATCTTATTAAGATATATATTATCAGCCCCATTTTGATGATATCAAATCCTGATTGGTATTTGACTAAATTGATATTATTCAGATATTTATACTATGCTTGAAATAAATCATATATTAGTTTTGCTTAAAGAGAACTCAACTTATAAAAAGGCATATTGTATTGATTTTTCAGCATTTGAATTTCTATTCATTTCTAGAAACATTACTATTGTGAGACAACAAAAAATAAAAAAGTTGAGAATTTGATCTCTCTATAAATATAACTTTCTAATAACTAAGTAGAGTTAACTATCTAATTTTAATCCCTCCATAACCTCAAGAATTGTATTCAAGTTATTTATCAATATATCTGAAGGAAATCATGAGATATTTGTTGACTGGTCAAACTATGTTAAAGCATCAAGTTGAAGAGTATTACTCAAGTATTCAGTAACCATCATCAACCTGTTCAAAAGGATAATACTTTCCATTTTTAACTAGTATCCTTATGAGAGGAGGATAATAAATATCAAGTCTTCATCTTCATCTTTTTCATTTGACATTTTCAATGCACTCCGAGTCAACATTATCTTTCATAAATTATCTTAGTTTTATTATTTATTGTGAAATAAATGTGATACTAAACTCTGATTTATCATAAGTGAGAGCTGTCCCTATAATGATAGTGTGGTCTCTAAGAGTAGTGAATCTAGAAGGAAATTTTGAGATGAAATTTTGTGAGAATTGAGCTTGATAATCTATGGTGTGATACCCTAGAGTTGTGAATCTTAAAGAGAGATTATAGGTGAATCTTCAAGCAAGTTGAGTCTATTAATCATTGTTTGTGATTAGATAATCACAATTAGTAAAACCTAATATTGATTTTATTATTAGAAAGCAGACATAGATAGTTGATCTAATCACAATAAAAATATAATATATTATAAGTGAACTAAGAGACTCACATACCCATTATCCTAAGATAAAAGTAAACCTCTAAGAGACCTCTAAGAACGAAATAAGAAAGTAGTCGATCAACTCAACCCCATCCTTATTAATCTTAGTGCAGGTCAGAACCCAATAATGATTATCCACTTTTATTATACATTTGATAGAATTGATTTTTGAGCTATTAAAAGAATGAATATCTTACTTTAAGTGGCATATGATCCACATTGTTTTCTAACCAATTCAAGATGTCTTATCTTTAATTTGGTGAATTGTCTTGTGATATCTACCATACTTTGTTTTCATTTGTCTATTTTCACTACTTGTCCTACATGACTATTCTTTCAATAAGATGGACAAGAGATAATTTTTGAATCAAGCTTCTTTGTGTCGATCTACATCTCTCTCTCTCTCTCTC